AACGACAGTGACATTTCTCACATTTAACAATAGATTTTTTTTTACCTTAAGAACGAAGGGTTTCCCACAGTGGTGCCACAGCTCAGCTGGATGACTGTTTTGGCCTTCATCCCATTACCACAGACATCATCCCCTACTGAATAGCTGACCAAAATCTTTTCATCTGTGCAGGAACAAAAACCTTCTCAATGAGGAAGCATTTCATTTGGAACAAAACAGAAAGGTCAAAACGTTTCTGCTGAGGAAAACTTTTCCTGATCAGCAGCTGCTGGTTCTGAAGAAGTAGAAAAATGGACTTCATCAACCAGACAGCAGGAAAAGATGCCTACCTGCGTAGATCATTTTCTGGGTGTAAACCTGACCCAGTGACTGAGTCTGTCCGGCTGCGGTGCGTCGGCACACTGCCGCCCCCTTTGGACAGCTAAGAGGCTTACTGTTGATCCCCTGACACAAGTTGACATAATACCTGAGGGAAGGAATCCAAGGGGTTAAATATTGATGGGATTCTCACTTCAATGTTTAAATACGAACGTCAAGAAGACTAAACCAAAAAAAAAACGTACGAATATCCTTTGTGGCTGAAATTCCACGGCTCGGTGAGGGACGACAGCGATCGCAGATCAAACATCTGATGCTTCCTTATCAGTTTACACTCCATCTTCCTCGGGGGGCAAACGGTGCTGGTGTACCACTCAAACTCGGTCGAACAGCCGGCGGTGTCAGAGAGCAGTTCCGGGTGGCCGTGGCCTGCAGTGTGGTTGCATCTGAAGAGGATGGAGGACTGACGTTTCGCAGAACCTCAAAAACGAGAAAGAAAATGGGAACATTTTACATTTGAGACGCCTTAACGTCTCTTTAAAACAAAAACCTTTAACGCCTTGGAAGAAAAGGTGCGACTGAAAAGCATGCGACTGATGTTCTGGCAGTAAGTTTAGTCTTCCAGATGCTTTCTCGTGTTTTCTAACACCTGTGGGGGTTTTACAGAACATAAAGGTGCCCTCCCTCCTAGGGGAGTGTTGGCGGACAATGGCAGCCCACTGCTTTGGCGGGGGGATGGGTCAGAATGCAGAGGTAAATGTCTTCAATGTGAGATCAATGAAGTGCAATGATTATTATTATTATTCACTAGGAGATGTATAAAGAGAATAGGTTGTACTGGATAGTTTTTAGGGAAATTAAGAGTTAAAGAAGTTGCATTCAAATTTTACACCTAAAGTTTGTGGTTATAACAATGCTTTATATTACTGATTAATTTAAGTTTAATAAGGTGTTCAATGATTTCAGAGGATTCTACAGGATTCAGCATTCTAAGTCAAGTTGAGGTTTTTCTCAGGCTCCATTTAATCTCTACTCGTATCAAATGTGATGCAGACTTGGAAACACTGGTTTCCAGAGGCTAACAAAGTCTCACCTTCAATGCAGAATCCCCATTTTTTGTCACTGTCATAGCTGGAAGTTGTGGCGCACCACTTCAAACCATCCGTCCTTCCGTCTGTGGTGCATTCGTTATACTCGTTATTCAAAAAGGTGAACGGGAACACGCACATCTCGCTCTTGTCGGTCGCTAAAACACACAAATCCTGCTTCTTTAACTGGTTTTTGTCATTTTAATGAATGTCTAATAAAATTATTTGCTACAGTAATGATCATGCTCTGCAGTTTAATTGCTTTTATGATACTGGATCTAGGTCTAGTGTTTTTGTTTTATAGCAGTACCACATTTTTTTTTTCACTATTCTACGGAGCCCCTAAAGGGACATGGAGGGAAAAAATAAACTTTTGCGAGATACCGCAATACTTTTGCGAGATTCCGCAATACTTTTGCGAGATTTCACAAAAAACAAACTTTTGCGAGATCCCGAAAATAATAATAGAAAAATAAACTATTGCGGGATCTCGCAAAAGTTTATTTTTTTGCGAAGTCCAACAATAATTTTGCAGAATCTCGCAATAGTTTTGCGAGATCCCGCAATAGTTTTGCGAGATCTCCTAAAAGTATTGCGGGATCTCCCAAAGTATTGCGGGATCTCGCAAAAAAATTAACTTTTGGGAGATCCCGCAATACTTTTGCGAGATCTCCCAAAAGTATTGCGGGATCTCCCAAAGTATTGCGGGATCTCGCAAAAAAATTAACTTTTGGTAGATCCCGCAATACTTTTGCGAGATCTCGCAAAACTATTGCGAGATCTCGCAAAACTATTGCAGGATCTTGCAAAACTATTGCAGGATCTTGCAAAACTATTGCGAGATCCTGCAAAAGTATTGTGGGATCTCGCAAAACTATTGCGAGATCCTGTAAAAGTATTGTGGGATCTCGCAAAAGTATTGCGGGATCTCGCAAAAAAATAAACTTTTGGGAGATCCCACAATACTTTTCCGAGATCTCGCAAAACTATTGCGGGATCTCGCATAAGTATTGTGGGATCTCGCATAAGTATTGCGGGATCTCGTAAAAAAATAAACTCTTGGGAGATCCCACAATACTTTTCCAAGATCTCGCAAAAGTATTGCGGGATCTCGCAAAACTATTGCGGGATCTCGCAAAACTATTGCGGGATCTCCCAAAAGTTCTTTTTTCCCCTCCATGTCCCTTTAGGGGCTCCGTACTATTCCAACATTTCAAGCTTCTTTTCTAAGAGTTTTGTACTATGAAGGGCAGAACTTGGTGTGAAGTAAAAAGCCGCTCTCTACCTGGTGGGCAGGGATCTCCTCCTCCGTACTGCATCAGCACTGCTTGCTCTTCATGTTTGAAGTCCATCTTCATGGCTTTACTCATACCATACGATGCAGCGGGCTTCCCTGAACCAGAACTAGGCACCTGGCAAACCGCGCTCTGCATACAGCCTTTCTCTGCCACAGAGCCACAGATGTTGATGTGATACATGCCAGAGCTCGATTTCACCTAACAATTAAAAGATAAAAACATTCAGGACAAAAAAAAAAAAAAAAAGAGTTTAAATAAGTAGGTATTCATTTCTAAATCAAGGCAGATGGAAGTCAGAATGTCAGACTCCTGCTGCGCACCTGGACTTCACCAGAAAGGGATTTAAGATCAAACGTATAATCGAGCTGCGAGTCTCTGAGTTGGCAGCCGCTGGTTTGGGTGGAATCTGGGCAGACGATAGGAGTCGCCCACTCAAACAGGAAAACACAACCCTGCAGGGCCAGCATCTGAGGGGAACCCTGGAAAACGCATGAAAGCAACAGTTAGAGTCAAAGACAGGATGGGATTATGTCTAATCAACGGGTGCAGACTGACCAGCTCCAGGCCTTTCTGGCAGGTAAAGATAATGGTTGAACTGTAGTTCTGCTGAGGGTCAGACGGACACTGGGTGGAGCTTTGGTAGGTGATGAACACTTTGCCTGTCATACTGTTGATCTGTGGCCCAGAGGTGGTCCGTCCAATATCCTTGAATGGAGAATAAAAGAAAATTTTAAAAATACATTTCTAAAATACAGCATATAAAATGTATCAACCATCTTATTTCTAATAAACAGACTGAGGTACACACAGTTCCTTATCATAACAATAAAAATCTATTATCTTTTAAAAGAATATTAACACATTTGATTGAAATAAAAGGAAAGTCAAATCTATTCTGCCATAAAGGCTGTGGCAGGCCGCCACAGAGGGAAACACTGATGCAAACTCCATGCAGAAAGACCCCGGGCCGGGAATCGAACCTGGAATCTTCTTGCTGCAAGGCAACAGTGCTATCTACTGGCCCCCTGTGCAGCCCAACAAGATTCTTATTCAATCTTTTAAAGAGCCTCTTCTGTCTGACACTTTCTAGTGTTTATGGTAAGTTTTGTCAGCATTAAGCACTTCTGCTTAGTTGACATTTTTCGGGTGATCATGTCCACGTTTTCTCACCACAGGTGGTCCATTATCAGGGTCCATACACACTGCGGCTCCAGGTGGGCAGGAGACGTCTGGGATGGGGTTCAAAGGCTCACAGACGTTAATGTAAAAATCTGGAGATTCATATGGGTTGATAGCAACATCTGAGAGGATGGAAACAGAAGAAGAGCAGGTTATACGAGTGTGGCATAAAAAGCAAATCAAATTAAACCAGAATCTGTTAAATATTAACTGTGTTTGTGATTTGCTTGTGCAGAAAGCCACAATCCCACCAACCTGCTGCTGAGTAGAATCCATTGACATGAATGAGAGGCGTCAGATCTATTAGAGCAGAACCATTCTGGACCGAACAGGTTACCTTATAATGGAAATAAATATAAAAATAAGAGTTAAACTATAATAATAGTTGTGTAATCTCACAAATATCACTGAACATTAATAAAAAAAATGTGTTTATAAAACAACAGAACTGTACAATCACAATTACTGCAATAAAGATTTCTAATGTTGCTGGCTCCTGACAAGTGTTTTTAATTTTAAGCCTTTTTGCTGCCAGATTAGGCTTAAAGGTATACTATGCAACCGGTGTTGATTTTCCAGCGAGGCTCCCCCCAGAGGGCGAAAGTAAAAGTGCAGTGTTGTAAATATGCTCAGCTGTTTTCCTGGTTTCTCCGTCAAGCCAGGCGCGGTTGTTTTTAGCTTAGCAGACAGGCGAACGCAACGAATCACCATGTCTACTGCGGTAAGTGACTATTTTGTTGCAATTTTCGAGTTTGAAAATTTAGCATGTTTCCGACATTGGCTTTCGCTGTTTTCTCACTGGTTCCGCCATGATAACTGCACAAATATCGCCACTGCGCTAGCAACGAGCATGCCTTTCACTCGGGGCGTGTAGCAGTTCTCGCCGTAAAGCAAGACCGACTCTCGCGATGCATGACACTTCTGAGCCTGTGGGTGCGGGCCGAGGGCTCCAGCAATTGCAAGTACGGTATTTCCCCTACAGACCACCAGGGCGGCCGAGAAAACCTTTGTTCGACCTGAAATGACTCATTTAATCATCCAAAACGTTATGGAACACATTAATTAACTGAAAAATGTTGCACAGTATGCCTTTAAACATTGTGTAATTCATTTCTCTAATAAACAATCTACTTGTTGTTGTTTCTTTATAAAGTGGACTGTAAACATGCAAATAAACTCAAACCTAACACGTACTGCTTGTTCGCAGACCAGCGGTGTGTGGACGGAGAAGAAGTGTGTGCAAGTCTCAGCATTCGAAGCAACAAGGACCGGCTCCTCAGGGACGGAGCTCATGGAAGAAGGCCTGTAAAAACAAACAAAAAAAATCCCATAGGTGTGTTTAAAAAAGGAATATTTGATGGAAATCTTTATTAAAGCTATCAAAAGTGACTTATTAAAGATTTTATTTTATGTGCCGTGTCAAGATCTGGTCCCTTCACAGTTCTAGTTATTATTCTTTATTAAAAGGTCCGGTCATATTCAGAATTGTAAAGTTATAAAGTCTTACAGCTGCTGTGAGGAAGCTTTTATACTTCAAAAAGTGCATATTTTTTCTCAAAAACTGAATAATCCAGGTAAGATCAGGCTTTAAGTTTCAAGTTTAATCCAGACCAGGGGTCTGTAAATTCAGTCCTCGGGTGCTACTTTCCAACAGCATTTGGAAGAACCCACACTACCCACACTGAATTATCTCTCTTGCATGACAGAAAAGTTTACTAATACCAAATCATTAACTTGATCGTGGAGAAGAGATTCTTCAAAAAGTTACTGTACAGTCAAACTGGACAGTTGGAGTTGCACAGGGTTCCTGCCGCATAAGGCAAGATAAATTCAAGACTTTTTAAGACTTTTTAATGCCACTTGAAATAAAAATTTAAGACCAAATTCACAAGAAACACAAGAAAAACCTGCTTGCGACAACTTAACCCAAAGGTTTATTTTAACATAAACCACTGCACTAATGTTTCAAATTTTGAAAAGCCATTGCAGCTATTTTTCTTTGTATCATTTTCTTAGTATGTTTGATTTGGTGATAAGTGGAGACGTTGTAGAGACAAGGGTGGAACAAAACTGAGAAATACCGGCTGTTTCTCGGTAACTTGATTTTGATGCTTTAAACGCTTTTGACGCTGATGTTTTAAAAATGAAGACCTACTAAAGACTGATTTAAGACATTTTAATACCAATTAAGGCCTTAGTTTTATTTTGAA